CAAGACCAATTTTAGTCGAACTGACTAATATCCATAATTGTGCACATGATCTAAATTTAATATATCAGATCAATTATTGCAAAATCCTGATTCAAAACTTAAAATTTTAAACAACTTAATATCTAGATACTTTCCCGTTATTACGATCAATTCGTAACATTAGCGTAGGTTTTCTAAATTGGTAATTGATGCTATGTATTAATTTCTAGATTTAGTAATTTATTATTTAGTATCATGATTACCTTAATTTGACGATTGATTTGTCATTGAGAACGATCATACGATGTCTCTTCAATGATACTTATACATGTATATAAATGCTAGTCCTCCCCTTATGTTAGAGTAGAAGTTGTATGCCCTTTGAACTCCTCTAATAAAGAGAATTCTCATAAAATATGTCTATGACCCGAATTATTATATATTCGTTTACACCCTGATCTATTTTGGCACTATCCTATCTGACACTCTCCCAAATTCAGATAGTAACAATTGGTGCCGATTGTGTGGACTTCGAATAACGTACTTCAGATCCACTGTATGAATAATTTTGAACAACACTCCAGAAACAATACTGAACACAATTAACAACATTATATTTTCGGCAAGAACCCTCAAGCCAACCAATATCTGATAGAACATTACCCCGACGATTCGTGTATTGTCTGCTACCCCCCTCAGGAAGGACAACCGATTCAATTCGCTAACTTTTGAAAGTGGTTCAGTTTAGCCCAACCGGTCTTCTCATACTCTCAGATTTCTATAATCTGTTTCGGCATTTTTCACGATTTTCCTATCGGAGAATTTTTAGAAGCTTCACTAAAAAGATTTTTCTTCAGTTTTCGTTTCTACGAACAACCAGATGACTATCCAACCTTATTAAATGAGTTCTTAACTATTTATCAAGAAACTGACCGGTTCTTAAAAGACCCATTTGAAGACCCATTTGAAGACGCTTATAATTACAGTGAAACCTCTGAGGATGACTTTACGTGTATATTCGAACTTCTTGACGAAATGGCTCAAAGAAATAACAATAATAATGCCCCAAATCCTAACAACCCACAAAACTCCATGGAAAACCTCGCTCAACAGATAAGAGCGTTGGTAAATCAGATGCAGCAAGCCCCTACTCCACAGGTCAATGTTGCACTGCCCCAATTTAACATTTCACAAATAAATATTTCAGCACAAAACCAGGAACTTAATTTGGTCTCGTACTCTGAGTTTTCAGGTGGGGAACAAGACCCAATTACTTGGTTGGAGGATGTAGAAAAAGTCTTTGAGGCCAATCAGGTTTAAGCTAACCAAAAAATTTTAGTAGTAGTTCCTAAACTTAAGAGCGCCACCGCCACTTGGTGAATGAGCATTAGAAATCAGCCTCAGCCTGTCGATAGATGGGATGATGCTAATTATCAGGGCCAAAGTTTCAAGCCTACATTTATAGCTCACTTCAGAACACCTGCTCTAGAAAGTAAGTGGTTTGCCTAGCTCACTCAACATAAGCAGCTCCCCACAGAAGATGTGGATGCTTATCACGTGGCCGTTGAAGAGCTTTTACGACAGGTAGAAGCTGGTAGACATCATTACCTGAACACTGCTAAGGCACAGATGTTCATTAGCAGATTAAGACCTGACCTTGCTGCTTCCGTTGCTCCTTTTCTGTCTGAAACACTTGTAGCAGCTCATGAGAGAGCAAAGGCATTTGAAAATGCCTATAAACAAAATTTGGCCAACATTAATGTTTCTTTGAACCCTTCTTTCTACTCTCCACAACACATACTTTCACAAATCCCCGTGCCGAATCCTACCGAAGAGGCTCTCATGAAGTTGACTAAAGCTGTCAACAGCATGATGGGTCAATTAAAGGAGGTTAAAGAAGCCCAAAGAGAAACTGGAATAACTGGAACAATGCACCGCGAGGACCTTGTCCCTGTTGTGGACAAAATAGACATTTTGCTAGGAATTGTCTGAATCCCTTGAGGAGAGATGCCAATCAAATTATTCCCCCTAACCAAGCCAACAATCAAAACCCCAATCAAAATAACAACCGTAATTCTCAACAGGCAAATAATAATGTGGAAGCTGCTATGCAAACCCTGCTAAACTTGTTTAACACTAATTAGCCAGAAACAGAGGCTCAGGCCTTCTTGAATCTTAATGAAGAACTTTCCTTGTATACAGTAGGAAAAGAGCCGGTAAAACCTATCTATATGACTAGGCTCAAATGCCAGCGTACTCAGGAGGATTTGGGACAAGAAGCTGCGCCACCCGAAACTGTTGGAAACAAGACAGTTGAATCAGCAAAGAATAAAAAAGATGATGCCAAACTGGTGGTCGTCTGGAGAAAAAGAACTGAGAATGAGCCTCTCCAAATTTCGGCTCTTGTTTCCCCTATTTAATTGTTGCTAAAATCTGAGATAAACCGGCCAATATTACTGTAGGACAATTACTAAGAGCAGTCCCTTCGATGCGTACTGAATTATCAAAGAGTCTCCAGAAGAAGAAGTTGACAAAAAGGAAAAGTCGTGCGTTCAGCAATCTTTAGCCAACTCCTAAAGCTATAGCCCTTTATTGTGACGCCTCTGTTAATGGAATAGTCATTCTATTAATAGTCGATAGTGGTTTCTCTAGCAGCATTGTTTTAACTCCCTTCCTCCAAGAGGTGGTATAAAAGTCAAAAGACTATCTACGGTTAACATGATAAACATTCACAAGCAAAGTAGAAGAGCAATTGGAGAAATCTCCAATTTTCCTTTCTCGGTAGAAGGACTGACAGTCCTTGTTGACGTTGTCGTCACAGATACTTTTTCCTACAAAGCTATTGTTGGAAATGACTAGCTTTCCAAAGTCAATGCAAAGATTGACTATACCAATTCAGAAATGAACTTCGTTTGGAAAAATGAAAAGGTAGTTGTTCCAGTTAAATTCTGAAAATTGCAACATACACCTTTACAGGAAAGTCGTCCTACCTGGATAACAAAACGTGAAGAGAATCAGAGTCAAAAGAAGAAGAATCTGAAAGTGAATATGAGGATGAAGAACTAGAAGACTAAATATTTGGTTATTCTGAAGAAGATGAATTCTTGTTCCAATATCCCTGCTATTCTCTTAACTTATACCAAGATTCTGATGAGGAATCAAACTATTCTAATTGCAATATCCCTCTTTCTAGACTAGGTAGCCATGAGGCTTGGTGGAACCTAGGCAGTGATGATGATTATCCAGATGAGGATATCTATGAATTGATTCCTAAAGAATCTAACGAGGAAGAAGATTTTTACCTTGACAAAGTTGAGGAAGTTCCCTATGAGTTGGACATCAGTGAACTTAACTCAAAAGGCAATAATTTGCTACAACAGTTGTTGTCAACCTATGATGACATCTTTGCCTGGACCTCACAAGACTTAGGGCGTACAAATTTAGTCACCCATAAAATTTACACTGAAGACGCCGCTCCTATTAGACAAAAACCTTACTGCACCTCTCCTAAAGAAAGAGAGTTCCTGGACGAAGAAATCAGTCATATGTTACACGAGGGTATCATCCAACTCTCCAATAGTCCATGGGCTTCTCCCATTGTTTTAGTTAAACAGAAAGACAAAACTCGATTCTGTATCGACTATCATTGAGTAAATGCTGTGACAAGAAAAGATAGCTATCCATTACCTCATATCAATGACTTTTTTAACACCTTGGCCAATTCTGCCTGGTACACTTCACTTGATTTTGCCACTTGCCAGCGGTTACTGGAGATTGAAATGCACCCCGAAGATCGAGAAAAGACCGCTTTCACTTCTCAATACGGAATATATGAATTCAACATCATGCCATTTGGCTTGACTAATACTCCAGCCACCTTCCAATGATTAATGAATACTCTCTTAAGAAATATCAACGGCAAATTTGTCATTGTCTATCTAGATGACATCAACATCTTTTCCTCTATATTTGAAGACCATTTACTTCACTTGAATGAAGTTTTTCGGTGACTCAGGAATGCAGGTTTAAGATTGAGCTCTCATAAATGTCATATAGCCAAAAGAGAATTTAAATTCTTAGGCTATACTATAGGACCAAACGGTATTTATACCGACCCTAAAAAGGTAGAAGCCATTAAGAATTTTCCAATTCCGAAAAATCTTTGACAAATATGCGGATTTCTAGGCTTCGCGTCTTATTACCGAAGGTTCATTCAGAATTTTTCAAAAATCGCTGCCCCACTCAATCTCCTCTTGAAAAAAGATACCAAGTACAAATGGACTTCCAAACAGGATGAAGCATTCAGGATTTTAAAAGAGAGACTTATATCGGCTCCCATTTTTTCTTACCCAGATTTTTCAAAGGAATTTATCTTTTTACTGATGCCTCTGGATCTGTCCTTGGGGCTATACTTTCTCAGAAAGATGACCAAAATAGAGAAAGAGTTATTTATTATGCCAGTAGAACCATGACCAATACAGAGAAAAATTACTCTGTAACTGAACAAGAATGTCTGGCAGTTATCTGGTCTATTTCTTATTTTCGCTAGTATCTCCACGGCTCCCATTTCACTCTTATCACCGATTATTCAGCCCTTAAGTTCTTACTGAAGTATAAACTTCCTCAGGGACGTCTTGCCAGATGGATTCTTGCTTTTCAAGAATATTCCTTCACTGTAGTTCACCGCGCTGGTAGACAACATTCAAATGCCGATAGTCTTTCTCGCCTTATCAAAACTCCCAACCAACCCTCTGAATTCTGACTATCAATTGCCATCCCCAAATTGCTATTCTTTTTATCATTACTTTGTTATTTTATTTCCCTACTTTACACTTTTTCATACACATTATATATATCAGTATGGAGCCACAAACTTATCAGCTTCTCCTTCGCTATCTAAGCAACCCAAAAACTCTGCAAAATTTAGATCTCCACCAGTTGAAAATCTTAAAACAACGAACCCGTCATTTCACTGTTGAAAACAACCTTCTATATAAAAAACATCGAAGAGACCATAATTGACTCTTAAGAGTATTATTACTTCACGAAACCGAAGCAATACTTTTTAGTATGCATTCAGACCCATTATCAGGACGTTTCAATTATCTATCTACATTCCAATGTATCGCGCTCAGATATTTTTGGCCCCAAATGGGTGAAGATATTCAAAATTATGTTAAGTTGTGCAATGCTTGCCAACGTTTGAGCCATTCAAGAACTAGAGAACCTCTTTATTCCATAAAAGTCGGACAACTATTTGACAGGGTGGGATTGATTTGGTCGGACCCTTGGTCCCTACACAACAAGGCAACTGCTATATAGTAGTTGCTACAGAGTACTTTACTAAATGGCCTGAGGCTCGTGCGATACCTGATGCTACCGCAGCTTCAGTTGCCTCATTTCTTATAGAAGATATCATTTTGTTGACACGGCTGCCCCAAAGTATTATTGTCGGATAGAGGCAAACATTTCGACAATCTTTTAATAGACGCCATTGCTAACCAGCTAAAATTTCATCACCATTATACTACTACCTATCACCCTCAGACCAACGGATTGGTAGAACGTTTTAATCGAACGTTATGCGAAGTATTGTTCAAATGCACTATTCAATTCTCTAGAGATTGGGATCAATACATACCTCCAGCTTTATTTGCCTATAGAACTACTAAATATTCTACTACTTAACATAACCCATTTTTCCTTATGTATGGTAGAGATGCTATACTACCTAATGTAATAGCTTCAACTCTGGCCCTCCCTTCAGCTGACGAAATTGAGTTACAAGAAAACATCATAAGACGAATAGAAGTCTTGCTTGGTGATGTACCAAGGGTACGAAAAGAGGCTCAAGATCGAATTAAGAAGTCCCAGAAGAAACAGCAAGATAGACATAATTGGAAATTTCTGATCGAAACCTACTCTATTGGTGATCACGTTTTGAAATATCGATCTGAACTTCTGGGAACCCACAAAGGGAAATTGGGTCAGACCTTTCTTTATCCACAACGTCTTGGGACATGGTGTTTACAAACTTCAATCCTTCGATGATCAAGTACTGAAGCAAAAAGTTCATGGTAATCGATTGAAGTTGTACCACAGCCACTTTCTTGATTAGTTCTTCGCAGGAGCTCGATTTTTAAGAAGGGGAGTCTGTTACTAGAAGTTTTTCGATTTCTTTTCCAAAGCTTTCCCAACCCTTCTTTTATTAGTTAGACTTGTTTAGGCGATTGTCCTACTTTTTCTTTTTAGTTATTATGTTTATCACTTCTATATTATTCTTTATTGTTTTCTATATTTGTGTCTTGCATTTCCAAGACCTTTATTTATTATCAAAAATCTGCCGTAGAACAAAGCGTTCCATAGTATATTATTCTATATTTATCTAAGTATTCCCTAGCATTGTTGGACTGATTTATTTGGGACAAAGGTATAATAAGGAAAATCTTTTAGCCGTAATTAGATCTACACTATCCCCATTTTAGTAAACAATAGTTTATTTGTGAATGTTTTCTGATTTGGAACGTTAGTTGTCAAAACTGCCGCGTGAAGTTCAAGGAATTACTTGATGGCCAAGAATTATAAAGCTATTAGTCATTGAGGTATTGTATGACGAGATGGAAAAGATAGAAGGAATTGGAATATTTTCAATGAACAAGAAGATGAATTGTTTATAGCACTCAATGATTTAGATATTTTAAAGGGAATTCATAGTTTTGTCTTCAATGGTAGGTTAGCATAAACAAGAGATTAGATTCTTGTTATTATGCAAAAGTTTATTACTGCATAGAAAATTCTACATGTATTTAAACCTTGATTTTTCGCCTTAATAAAGATTTTTCAGACTTCGATCTACTTAAATAAAAATCTGAACCTTATAAGTTAGTAGGCAATTCAAAGCCGAAGGCAACTTATAAAACTCTTATTGCTTTATCAAATTCTCACGCTTCTGTATTCATTATAAATTCTTTATTAAATATCATACTGCATACATCTATCAATCTAATTTAGACTCGATTTTTTATTACTCTCTACATTGTTATCATTACTATATTCGATCTCATAATCTGCATGCCAGATTTCACAATCATATTTTTATCTTCCCACACCATTAACTCTAAAAGTATCTTACGGGCCCCGCCGTACTCACCCGATATCCCTTCATAACTATCAATATTCCTAACCTATATCGTTTACTGTCCTGCTCTAAACTGGTACATCAATTATTTTAGCTCTCCCAAAGATAGTAACACTGTTCCTGGTTTTGCGCGATGACATCGCGCAGCTACCTTATAGAATAAGAAATGGTGATCTAATGATTGGTGCTGTAATTCAAAATACAATTTGTCATAATGTAATAATTATTTATTACAAAGATAATAATTATAATAATAATTGTTACTTGTAATAATTATTACTACATGTCGTAATTATTATTACATGTCGTAATAATTACTACATGTAGTAATTATTACTACATGTAGTAATTATTACTACATGTTGTAATTATTACTACATGTCGTAATAATTACTACATGATGTAATTATTACTACATGTTGTAATTATTTATTGGCTGAACTCGGCTTGGCTCAGCTCTTAAGCCAAGCCGAGCCAGCTCGAGCCACCTCCAAATAATCACATGACTCAGCTCGAATCTGACCTGAGCTGGTTACATAACTTAACCTAAGAAATATACATATAAACCTGCTATAAAAGGTTCTCTTGCTTGCATTATTAATGAATCTAATTAGTATTTCTACAAACTTGAACAAACCAACTTGGAGGTAAGTTCAAGTTGAGTTCAAATTCAAACTAAACTTGAGTTGGTGGTAGAGATTGGACCTGGGTAGAAATTGTTGCTATATAATTGCCCAAAATACATAATGATTTATCTGGATAATCTGGTAATACCTAAGTAGGTATTTTCTCAATGGGTCCAATCTCTAGTTGGTAGTGCAGGGTACTTGGCAATACCAATGGTACACCAAATTGGTGTATTAGCTAGCATGCCAGTACAGAGAGGGTGGGCCAATAATATTTATATATAAAGTACCTCATATTCAGGCATATATCTTATTTTGAGATAATTGAGTTTAATTATTTGTTTTAATTTTCAGACTAATTCAAGATTGAGCAAATTTCATAACTTTAATTGGTTAAAGGTAGCAGATTACTATCAGATAATCATGTAATGTGTTTGGCCTTAAACAGCCTTGTGTAATTTTCTTTTACATTATCTTTATTTTTTATTATGCAAATTGACTTTCATTTATAATTGAAAAATGTCAATCAAGTCAACATTTACTTGGATTTATTAAAAACACATTTTTCAAAAAATTACAAAATAGGTCTTTTTAATATAAGGCACTCCATATGAATGTGTATGTATAATATGATATATGCATATACATAACTTTTGAAGAATAGGTTTGTCTTAGCTTAATATTAAAAGTAACTTATTACAATAAATTAGCTGTAAGAAATAAAATATTAGCCTGGAAGTTCTCAATATAGAGTAATTAAATATAAAATACAAGCTTGAACAAGCCAAAAAGTAAAAGCAATGTTCGAAAATATCCAATAACAAGATATAGTTGTAATTTTATGCTTTATTAGAGTAAAATAAAAGATAAATATATATAAAGCTACTAGCATTAGACTATGTGTGTAGTATAATGGTGCACTATCAGGTACACCGCATACTATTAAATACCACCAACCCTAACTCAAACTACTATAAAAAGTAGTTCAAATACCAACACTTTCAGGGTGTAATTTGTTTAGGCTTGGAAGTTTATAAACCTATTCAGGTTTAAGTTCTATAACAGAATTCTTTTGATAATATTTGAATAAATTATGTTAATTCTAATACAAACAAACTCATCTTAACTATTATTGTAGTCACTAGTATAGCGAGTAAATTCTGTAACAAATTTTTTTTAAATAACTTATAATAGAGTCATGACAATTCTAATACAAACTAACTTATCTTAACTACTAAAATAGTAAATAGCCTTTGTAATATAATTATTTACAGTAACTTAAAATAGAATTCACAATAATTTTAATATAAACTAACTACATATTGCAGCCACCAGAATAACAAGTAAATTCTATCTCTTAAACCATCTAGCAGGCAAATTTGTCTGCTTAAATTATTTTTGAAAAGTTTTTTAAGTTTTTTTAAAATTTAAACTTGACCCCCACTATTTATTAAATTAAATTAAAAATATTCTTTTTACATATAATATATTTAAATTTTATTATTCTATCTTTAATTTTGATAAAGATATTACATTTTTAATAAAACTTATTTTTTAGTTTTACTATTAAATTTTAAAAAGTTTTTTAAAATTTTATATATTTTTGAAGAAAATTTTTTTTTTTTTTTTTAAGCAATCTTGTCTTTATTTATTGAAACTGCTTATTAATAAAAATACAAAGCATTTGCATTTTTAAAGCATAATGTTCTAATCTAATAAAAACTCACCAAGCAAAATGCCCAATGTGACCTGCTATAACAACTATTAGTCTTACTCAGGATTCAACACTTGTGTCAAATTTTGTACTGACTAGAGTATACCCCTTGATCACGGACAGGTTGTTGTCTACCTTGTCAAGATCACCCATCTTGCTTTAAAACTTTTCCACCTAGATTCTGGCAGAATAATTAAATCTCTTACATTTGTATAAGGAAAGAAAATAATGCCAAGATTTATGAAAAACTGGAAATTTAAGGCATATACAAACAAAAATTGAACAAAAACCCTAAACTCTATCTATACATAAAGGGAAAAGGATGAAAAAAGTAAAAAAAAGACAAGCGAACCTGACACATGTAAGAAACGGAAGTATACTAGTATAACCCATGCCAGGTTTATAAAAATTATATACAAGAGCAACATCTGTATATCTCTACTGTAAAACTATTACTTATCGTTATTTTTCTTTCCAACCCAACTACAGATTTTTCTATAAATCTGATTCATATCTCGAGCAGGTGCTGCCGCCATCTGTAGACCCATATCTCAAGCCACTTGTCCCCGTAATCAGGGATTTCTTTTTTAACTAGGACCCATTCTAGCAGTTTAACGTTATATCCATTTTTGGACACATGTTGCCACCTACCGGTCTATGTCAATCTTTTGATAGGGGTAAGCCAAATTTCTACATTTTTCGAAAAAATTTTAGAAGACCGATAAAAAGGTGTGTAAAAGTAGAGAAGGAACTACTTGGCCAAGTAAAGGAGTGTGGCTTAAAGAAAAATTCACTTTTGTTGTTTCCCTGTGTTTTTCTTTAGAAATAAACAGCCTAAGTAACTTTGTCAACGAAAAAGACACTAGTCCCTTCACCAAGATTTTGTATCCAAGGGTGCACACCTTTTGCCAGTTATCTTGTTTACCAACGCTTTTGGCTTGCATGTCGAATGCACAACTTATAAAGGAGTTTCAAAGCAAAAACCGTTAACCTCTAGGCAAACCATTATGTTAGACTATGACGACTCTCCAACAAAAGTTCATTTTCTTTTAGTGAGAAATTTTGGTCCAAATGATCATTGGGAAAAGTTGGTGCTTTTTTGATGGAAAAGAAGTTTTTTTTTTTTTTTTTTAACAACACTGCCTCTTTATTACTCATTATTGTGGATGTGTAATACAATACATACTTTTACAACAGAAATTCAGTACATCATTGGTAATCTCTAACCTAATTAGTACCTGTTATGCTGCCACCACCAAGTTCGTATTTCAAGCTACCTTTTTGGGATGCTGCCATAACCCAGTCTGTATCTCAAGACATAACCTTCCTAATTAGTTATCAACAACCGCAGATGTTCTAGATTTCTCTCCCTGCGGTGTTATAGTTCTCGAATCTCTATAAACCTCTTTGTGTGAGATGTACCAAACCTTATGGCCTAGTATAGTCGTAGTTAACCTCTATTTACCTTACCATTGGTCTACATAGTGTCTATAGTTTGCTTAGCCCAAATCCAGATGTGTGAGATGTACCAAACCTTATGGCCTAGTATAGTCGTAGTTAACCCCTATTTACC